CTATGCCCTAGTCCTTTAAGGCGAACCCACAAGCGTTGTTGTTCAGCCTTGAACCTAATCAAAGCAAGCAGTAGCAAAGGCTTGACTATCAGACTTACTTAGAGGCTTTAGCCTCGAATTAGTCACCCAGACGCTGAGGAGGGGTAATAACGCCTCGAGTAGGACAGATATGATATCAGTGGTCGAGTGAAATACTTGAACCAGGGAGATGGCAGACGGATTCTACGTAGCAAGAGGTAGACTAAGACCCAGGGAAGGAGGATTGCGTAACAATATGACAGACTCAGATCAACGTACCCGGCACACGAGTACAGGGTGGTAAGAACGCCAGCGTGGAGTGTGGATGATTCTCATGAATGCTGCTCAAAATGGCACACTACACTACATCTAAATAAGAACGTAAAAAATTGGTAACAGTGTAGGCGTGATACGAATACATAGGAAATGTGAATATCCCAGGGCAGGAGAGTTACCACAACTGTTTAGCACACGTTTCTTCAAAGCATCGGCTTCACTTGTCCCTTTGACAAGTTGTTGCGTCATGTTAAGAATGGCGAGACTCACTGACGATATCGGCGAAACGTCTGGAAATGTGCCATTCCACGGTCCGACTTTGGAAATAATTATGCATACAATGGACTCAGGACAAGGTGCGTTCCTATAAGTCTTACTACCATTATGACCAAGTTGCGAAAATAAGGTCAAACAACTTCTATACAACGAAAGGAGACTGTGACCACAAAAAAGGCCGCACAATATTGGTCTTCATACCTTAGATTAATCTATGGAAGTAAGATTGCCAAACAATGCACTAATTACAACCGAACAAAGAAGACATTTGTAAGTCAATCCTGCCATTTGGCCTTTTTGAATTGTTGATTACATTATGGTATCGCTTGCCGATTCTGCAATTTAATGAAGAAGTATCATTCGGGCACAATTAATGAAATACTTTATTACGCCTCCATCAAGAAATTAGAGGAAAGTTACGAGACTGAGAGGCGTAAGCTATTTAAGTTCATAGATCTCAAGTCTAGATTAAGGAAGAATCTAGGTGGGGTTCTCACTTTGGATGTTTTTCAAAAAAACTCCAGAGCATGACAGACCAGAAGTCGCAGAGGGTTCGGGATCTGATAAATAAGAGGCATGACAAGAAATTGCTTAGCTATGGGATAATAAGACAGAACAAGACCAAGCCAACCCCGACAAATTTTGATGGTTCTTTAGGAATAGAGGCAGGATAGACGAGGCGGTGATTGGAGCTAGTTGGCTGACAGTAGGTTTTACAAGAGACGTGGTCCATGTGGCAAAAGTATGACCATGAGACTTACTCTGAGGCTTGAGCCTTGAATTAGTCACCAGGTGCCAAGTGATGACGAATTACGTCTCGAATAGCACAGATGGGGGGCAGGGGTCGAGTGAAATACATGTACCAGGGAGATAGAAGACGGATTCGACGGGGAAAGAGGGAGACTTTGATAGGACCCAGGGAAAGACAACGTATCAATATGACAGACTCTGGTCAACATTCCCAGCACAAGGGTGAAGGGAGTGATAACGACAGTGAAGGGCTTTCATGAATGCTGCTCGAAGGTGCACACGACACTATATTAGGAATAAGCACGGTAAAAACTGTGACAAGGAACGCATGATATGAGGATATAGGAAATGTTAATAGGCCAGGGCAGAAGGCGAGATACCATAACTGTTTAGAACACGTTTGGTCAAAGGATGAGCTTCACCTGTCCCTTTGACGAGTTGTAATATGGTGCTACGAATGGCGAGACCCACTGACGATGCCGGCGAAACGTCTGGGAATGTACTGCGTCTACGATACGACTTTGGAAATAATTATGCATACAATGGACTCAGGACAAGGTGCGTTTCTATAAGTCTTCTTACCAATATGACCAAGTTGCGAAAACAAGGTCAAACAACTTTGCTAATTTATTGCCTATTATTGACATGCTTCCACAATTCCTATTCAATATTTATAGTTTCGGAGCCAGCTCAGCGCCAACATACGTAATATAACCAATTATAACAGGAAATACAAGATGATATATCGATACTTTCACTAGAAAATTTGATACGCAAAAGACCTGTCTAGTCTTGAAATCCTTATCTGCTCTGTCACCAACTAACACGCGTTGTAGTATGGCGTAATGGTAAACTGTTGACAATTAAGGCTATACTATCCGAATTCGATACGCGTTCTCGGCGCCAATCGGACAGGCCAGCGTGATCTGGCAATTCCTTTTAGAAGAAACTTTTAATTGAATCTCTATGTTATCATGAAGCCTTTTTGTATCGTTGTGAAAAAGTCGACTGTCGTTCTACATTATGCGAGCTAGAGTGAATATAATTCTTGCTCAAGGTCTACTCATATAAAAGGAACCAGTCTGAATGTTTTTATTACCAATTTGTTTTGCGCATATTATTTCAAGTTCTGCTTCTACAATTGAATTCAATCACGTGGCCGCATTCAGAATAGATTATGTGAATTAGTTTACCGGTTCACGCTGTAGGGACCGAGGGAATAGGTATTTTCAATATACCTTCTTATATTATTTATAAGGCAATCCGGCCCTAATTGTCTGCGGGCTCGATGTATGGTTATCGGATGTCAACACACTTTGCTGTCGAAATCTACGAGTTAATAATCAATTGACCCAGTGAGAATTAGGTAAGAAAAATGAGGGTAATAGGGAAGCAATTATTGATGTCTCCTTTTTCGAACTGAAATGGAACATTATTGCGATTATTAAGGAATGAGTACACTTATTTTTTCTTTGTAATTAGGTTTTCGAAACTACCAGTACTTCATACATATGGGATGTATTTACTGTATTTCGTTAAAGTTGTTTGGGGACTGGTAGATAAATTTTTCCCTCGATTGATATGAGCGGACCTTATATTTCCATTTTATTTCGCATAGACTTGCTTCTCATGCAGTATTGTTATACAGGGTTGGCTCAAGTTTCGACCTCGTCTAGGTCTCTTTAGCACCCCCAATGGGACTCGAAACCGGTTCGTGATAGTGCAGCCTATAATCTCGGCTCGTTTACTACGTGAGGCTGCCACGAGTGCCTCTGGGTCACAGAGCTGATGTGAATTTTAATGAAGCCTAGGCCTTTTCCCTTATCACATTCTGTTATGGGATTGTCGGGGAGGCAAAGTTGTTAATGTATCTCAAGTTCAAAGCCTAGTCATAGTATTGTTGGAAAAATCCAGCTACCAATCCTTTACCTTAAACCAATACATCTAATATAAAGTAATCTTTTTTTCTACACAAAGCCAAATTTGGAAAAATGGACTGCTGTGTAGTTTGCTTTATCAGGTGTCAGAACTATGTACAATAGTATAGTGTAGAGATGGGAGAAGCAATCAGGATAGATGGAAGAAATCCACCGATTTCAGAGTTATGGGTACAGAAAGATCGGATTCAACTGACTTGCCATGCCATCGGCTTAACTAATAATACGAGATTAGCCTCATATAATCAACATTCAGCAAAACGGAATATCAGGTAAGTTGTGGATGACAACCGAATGAACAACGGCTTGGAGGAAGGAAGGACCAGTGATAATTTTGCCTAATACTTGGTCAGACTAGTTCGGGATTGAACAAATTTGTCGAAAAGAAGACGCTTGTATCAGGGGTATTTAGCAAAAAAACGAGGGAAGTCACCTATTACAGGATCTTGGGGGACAAATTGAAGTGAGATGAGTTAAACCCGTGATCAGCATCAGATTTATCGAGGTGGGTTTAGCTAGGGATACAAACATGACGGATTTTAAAGGCAGGAAATATGGACAAAAGAGATCGAACAGCTTTATTTTCAATCCTTTTTGGTGTTGCAGCAAAGATTGGAGTTCCAATATCATTTGGGCTTCAGTACATTGGCTGCGTGTGTATGTATCTGGTTCATCGCATGTCGAACTCAGTACTGCCTCTGGCTTATTTAGGATTGACAACAGAATGCTTTACTTAGTTCAAGTGTTTCAACCGGTTCCAAATTAAGCCAGATAGGGCATCGGGGGATGTCAATAAATGGAGTGGGGGTGAGAAAGATGGTAACTTGCACATGACACTTCGGTGCCGGCGATTTAAATAAAGCCTAAAATGCAAAGGAGAGGGCCAGATCCAAGAGTTTATAGATAACCAACTAGTCGAAAATTTGATTGGAATTGATGGATGGATTAGATTCCAAAGGCATCTGAACTTTAATGTGATGGTGATTACGCTTCACTTACTCTTGAGGTGATACAATCATAGAAAATGTCAGAGCGCTGGTAGGTAATACAGATTATAGTAAATGACTGGGGCTATTATACAGGTGAAATTTCTGCGATAATAACAAGACAACGGTCCAAAACTGACAATGATCATGAATGCTAGTTCAGAGGACGCAGGATTTGGTACACTAAGTATCACATCGTCCATACCACATTGCGAATACGAGGTTACGCCAATTTATCGCTTGCAAGCATTGTGAAATTGCTCTTTTTACTGCCTTGCCATTCCAAATGCATATAAAGATCCCAAATGGAGTACTTTATTTGAAAATCCCTAATGTCTTCCCTTGATTTACACTGGCTAAGCAATACGATAGATATCTTCTTTTAAACGCTTCCTTTCTAGCGAGTTGTGGGTGCTATGAAGCAAACTGAATAGTCCAAATCGGCCAGTGCTATTGTGGTAATATCGTAATCGCTATGATCTGCTACAATGTGTCTGGTTCGGCCACTTCAGCACACCTTTTTTAGCTGCCATCATGTCCCTGTGGTGTAGCAAAATAATATAATGTAGCTTTTTTTATGAAAGGCTATAATTTGCCATTTGACACATCTTAGTCATTTTTAAACAGTTATATTCAGCTTTTGAACTGCTACCTTGGCATGAGTTGCGGAGGCACTGGCTAAATTAGTGCTAAAAATAAGGGCAGTATGCATAAACGAATTTTACTTTATGCTAGATACGAAGTGCATGGCAATTTGTTACTCCTCTTCTTGGCCTCTGGTGTCCAAATTCTTAAAGAGTGGGATGAGTCCAGTCTTTTCACGCATTTCTTTTTTATATTTTTCTGCATCATCCTTCATTACATTCCTTAGCAAGTTTCTATGTCTGTGAACCAGTATCTCCCTTATGTGCGACTTGACCATGTCGTTTTCTTTGTACATACTTGTCGGCACTTGGGGTGCAGTCAGACGTCTCAAGATATGATTGCGACATTCCGACTGAAATTTTTGATCCAGACAGTTTTGCACCTGTTTATTCTTGGTCTCATTTGCCATTTGGAGTAGGGTGAATTCATTCGCTGCAGGAAGTCGTAAAGTGTCATTGCGTCCCTTCTCATAGTAGACTGGAGTATTAGGGAACGTGCGATCGTGGACGATCGCAATCAGAGGGCTCTGTCTCCTTGAAATCATGCTCTAAATGCATTCATGCAGACTAACGGTTTGATGAGACCTATTATCGATTAAGCCCAACTAATTTCAACGGAATTATTTTTTATTTGACTACTACTTACAAATAACTGTCCATTATTTGGGTAAGTAATCTACAGTGACCATAGGCCATGTGTGGCTTTATCAGCTCACTGAACATGGCTCCTTATGTTTTGATAAAATTAATTATGGTGCCCCTCTGTGCAAAATACCTCTGAATATCGTGTTGAAAATATGTTTATTCTGAGCTCAATTAAGTTCGAAAAGACTTGGTAAAGCGAATGTGAAAGGAAGTGTCCAATTTCGTGCCCTCGTCAGTGCACCCTGGAAAAATGCGGATCTAATTACATTGAAAATAAACTGTATTTTTCGCATTCACGTATTGGCCAATACTTTGGGCAATTTATTCGAAAATGCCATCACAGGAACTATTAACCCTTTGTTGACCAGCTTCAGTTAGGCTGAGAGTGTAGTTGAACAGAATGAGTTAGAGACGAGCACTTATGAAGAATGAAAAATGTCTTCTAATTAGTTTCTATTTCAATTGGATCTTTTCTGCATCGGCTTTTAAATACGCGCTGAAATTTGATTGTGAATATAAATAGGTTAAATAACATTTTCATCAGGTGTGAATTGACAATTTCTTGTCATGATTTCGTAATAATGGGCTCGATTTTTAACATTTGGTGGTGCTAGCTGTGCTACCCTCTTATTTGTAGTGTTGACAATGCATGTCCTAGGTTAGAACTAGTTTAATCTAAGTAAAAAGTAGGTTTCATCGTCCATATAGTATAATTTCTTATGAAAATAGCATAGTGCTGCATGTGTGGCATCGAAATTAAATCGCAAATCACACGAAATGCGGTAATAAGCGCATTTGCTGTTTAATTAAATGGGGTCACTTTACGTTGTCTTAGTTTTGACTCTGGGTATCACTAAACTGATAATACTAATACTGGGAAATAAGTTATTGAGCAGTTTCGGCAGCCCAAAACTTCCATAGATGAGAATGCTCTTCACTTGTCCATAAGATCAAAAGTGTAGATGCAAAATCGTTTTTTAGCACCATTTACACCAAGCTTGCCTTCTTGCTAAGAAATGCAGTTGGACCAATGCTTATTAAGGGGATGCATAAGGCTGTGTTGTCAATACTAAAAATAAGAGGGTAGCACAACTAGCACCGCCAAATGTTAAAAATCGAGCTTATTACTAAGAAATCATGTCAACGATGGACCGAAATGCGCGCATGACAAGAAATTTCAATTCACACCTGATGAAAATATTATTTAACCTATTTATATTCACAATTATTTATAAAAAATATGTTCACTATCACCACAATGCAATCATAACAAAAGTTACAACAACTCTCTCTATTATTATTCCATTTGCCTATAAGTGCAATTATATGGCGATTGCATAAATTATTTACAATTACAAATAGAATGCCTAGCTTTAACGGCATCACGAGACCCGACTAGGTAAGAGAATTGAATATAAAGTGATTCACGGCCTAGAGTTGGATGCCAATACTATACAAAAAATGCACAAATTTAGCAGTTCAGAATGGTTGGTGTTTGTAGAAGTTCGTTAAGTAACTATGAGTGTGGCAGGCACAATGAAGGGGTCATTTTCCTTGGCAGAAGTCATGAGGCCAAATTTGACAAGACGATTTTGCTCCTGGGTCTCAACGAGTCAATCGTCGGTACTAGCCATGGACAATGCGCTTGATGCGGATATATTGAGGAGCCAGGAAGTTGACATGGAGTCTGGACGCCAGTGGATCACTGGGCAGAAGTGACACTCAAGA